AACCCATTTCTTCATTTTTTTCCCCCTTAGTCTTCTCATGTTTTAGGGTTGAAATTTATAGTTCAAATTTTTTTGGGGACCACAGTTATAAATGCGAAGGAAGACAAACAACAGAAAACATTATTTACATCTATTGCTAAACTAATCTAAGGCTACATAGTAAATGGATGTATTCTCCACTTTAGCCCAGGGTTATTGACGGTGGATGTAATTGTCCATGATTTTTGAAGGGTGTTATTTCACTGCTAGTTACAGGTTTACGGTCCTTAGTCCATCTCAAGTTTTTCTTATAAACGGAGATATTATTTAACTTAACTTAGAGTTAGCGTCAAAAGAAAGTATTGCTAAACTAATCTAAGGCTACATAGTAAATGGATGTATTCTCCACTTTAGCCCAGGGTTATTTATAAATGAAATAATTTTTCAGTCTGTCTCAGGTTTTCTGATAATTAATGCTATTCGTGACATTAACACAGGAGTACTGGGGAAAGACGATACTCTCAAAATCATCCAAGGATTACTGATATTCGTTATCCTATCTCAGGTTTACTAAAACGTGGGCATATTTTCTCGTCTACCCCAGGATTTTTGATAAGGGTTGATGTTATTCGGCCAAACAGACATAAAAAGGTTCAAAAGAAAAATATATATCAGAGCTTTGAATACGTATTTCCTTCATAAACCTTTAAATATGTGCCGTTATATTACAAATAGTTATTTATTGTGAGTATTTTGATGGAGAAAATACCCTGCACGAAACAATTAAAGACAAATTTCAGTTCTTAATATTTTAGTTATGAAGAGATGAAATAATGTCAATGATCCTCCTCGATTATTTTTATGTAAATAAGGCAAATGACTGGTCATTAACAGAAGGGTTGGAACCGGAGGTGCTCAATCAGCCCCACATTTACATATTTGATTTATATAGCAACTGTAAATTATATTATTAAATTAGTTTTCTGGGGGCATGCCCCCAGACCACTCATGAGAGAGCTGGTTTTAGCAACTGTAAAATCTGCAAGTCTAGCCAAATACCCCCACTTTTCAACTCCTTCCTACACCAGTGATTAAACTATGGTCGTAAATAAATATTTGGTTGGTTTGTTTTTAGAAACAAAGACACAATGAGCTATCTGCTATGTTTACCATGGGGAATGGAACCCCGGATTTTAACATTGTATGTCCGTAAATTTACCGCTGTCCCATTGCGTGGGGTTGGGCAACATATTTGGCAAAAAGTAGTTTTGTATCTTTATACGTCATAATATTGCACGTATTGCACGAGGAGTATGGTCCTCAAGACCAGCATGAGCAGCCTGACACTGGTATTGCATTTTTAAAAACCAAAATGTTGATTATATCCTGAAGTATCCTCGATCACTCTTTTCAAAGAGTTACTTCTAGTATATCATTTGTGTTTGGAGTCATCTGACGGGATGCAACGTGTTTCTCAAGAAAATCTCATGCATACCTGACAGGACTGCAGTCCACTGAGAAGGCCACTCCATTTGACTAATCTTCGCTTCTTAACCCAATGTGTCAATCAGTTTAGCACGGTGTTGGCAGGTGTTATCATCCATCAGGCTGAAGTTAGGACCAAATGAAAAAGCATATAGCAGCCATAGGATGCGGTGTATATAATATGCTTATAACATTCTTCTACCACTACTGTATGGGTCACACTTAAGTAAGAAATTAAGGTTGAATCTGGTTTCAGGTTAAATGAGTATACTTTTGTTATTTAGCCGCGTCTTTGGGTTTATCTCACGTTAACTTAAGTTTTTATTACATATAGTTAATACCAGGTATATAACAGTTATGTATATAATAAGACATTACATCAATAGTTTAGTTACACTAATTTTCTATAATTACTTCCTTTGCCATATTAACGATTGGGTTGTTTTAAATTTCGCGCAAAGCTACACGAGGGCTATCTGCGCTAGCCGTCCCTAATTTAGCAGTGTAAGACTAGAGGGAAGGCAGCTAGTCATCACCACCCAGTGCCAACTCTTGGGCTACTCTTTTACCAAAGAATAATATGATTAACCGTCACATTACAACGCCCCCACGGCTGAAAGGGCGAGCATGTTTGGTGTGACGGGGATTCGAACCCGTGACCCTCAGACTGCGAGTCAAGCCCGCCATATTAACCAACGTTGTAACGTTTATTTCTAAGTCTTATTATTGTTGAACTTTTTATAGGGCTTAACTTGTTCCATTTTTGACTTTTTCGGATGATTTAACGTCAGTCAACTGTTACGTGTCAAAGGTTAGTTAAATTTAGAGTGGTAATGTTAGACATATCTCATAATATGTTTAGTATGCTGTTTTCTTTGTATTACATTTAACGCTGATAGATTTTAATGGACAATCTTTCATTTATTACTCTGTCACTTCATAAACATTAGCTTTTGGTTGTTTACTATAGGTAAAACTACTTTTACTGACTCGACACAGTTTAAACAATAACGTGTGTCGTCGTAAGTTTTCACATTCACAGATGCCACTCTTCTCTAGTGTTATACTGCAGAGTAGCTTAATGAGTTTTAAATGGTCAAAAGACACGTTAGGGAGAATTAGTGAAACATCAGCCATGTTATTCTGACGCTACGTTAAAAAAAAACTCTACGGTAGTAGTTCAGGCAGATAGCTAGTGTTTCTGTGTAACTAAAGTAAGGTATATTATGTTATTTATTTATTGTTACTTTCATGAATGATATTGGTTAGACTGTTTAAGATATCGAAGGTTATTAATTTTTAATTGTGTTATTTAATATTATACTTTAACTATAAATATTGATTTGTTTTGAATTTCACGCAAAGCTACACGAGGGCTATCTGCGCTAGCCGTCCCTAATTTACAAGTGATAGACTACATGGAAGGCAGCTAGTTAACACTACCCACCGTTAACTCGTGGGCTACTCTTTTACCAACGAAGTGACCATGGGATTGACCTTTACTTTATAACGCTCCCATGGCTGAAAGGGTCGAACTTGCGACCCGCATATTACGACTCGAGCGCCCTAATCACCAGGCCATGCCAGGCCACATATTGTTTTGCATTATTAGCTTAATATATGTATTTAGAACTAACCTAGATTTCCTCAGCTGGCCGAATCTCGTGAGGTATTTTTGGAATTACGGTTGAAAATATCGTTAACAGGGAGGGTAAATAACTAATCAAACAACGCATTAGGATCTTTGTAAGTAGGAATATAACGAAAGTATATTTAACTAGCTATAGTGATTCCAGGTTTGATTTGAAGTTTTTCTCTAAGTACATAGCTTGCACTCATCTGAAACTAATGTCAGTGCATTCCCATGCTATGTTTCAATATTGTGGAGAGCCACCGAACAAATTGGAGCTGATCAAGTGAAACAGGTTACAAATGTCTCAAAAGTGATGCTATTACAAATGAACCGTTTCCAAGCTAATGCTAAAATTGTTTGGTCACCTGGACAAGGCATACAATCAACCGAAACATAACTAGATCCGTTAATTCTGGTTCGTAATAATCGTAGGGTGCTACCTACTCCGAGAATGATTGGTATGTTCGCAGTTGCAACTGACAGTGTCAACATACGGTCGATTAGAAACAGACTTCACAAGACTAATCTGTAGGTCAGACGCTCAGTGAAATACAAGATGCTAACAGAAAGACACACAGAAAAAAGCTCACCTTCAATTGTACTGTGAACTCATACATTAGTCTAAGAATATATAGCAATATTCTTTTTATAGATGAAACGAATCGAAACCCTATACTCTAAATAATATCCCAAGGAATT